TCTCCATCCTGTAAGGATGGAATTTTTCAAAAATCTAAATTTTCCATTAAGATTAGTATTTTCCAATAGACTCATATGTCCGAAACTTTTTCCCAGTCAAGCATTACACAAAACATTGGCGTTATAAAAAACCATCAATGCTTTGTTTGCTCCTACGCCCCTACCCCATTAAAAGACATTCTCCTTTCATTCCTTGTCCCATACGCGAACTAATAATTTCATTTCACTTCCCATTCCACTCGATAATTTTTAATCCCCATTCTTTCCACTTTCCCACGGAAAAATAAAAACATATCTTCATCCTATTAGGATGAATGATTCTCTAAGTCCCAACTGATATAAATTCCAATTAATATTTTTTTCAAAAGACGACATTGGCGTCGAAAAACACCAATGTCCCTATCTCCATCCTTATTCCTTTCCTCTCCACCTATAAAAAAGCATTTTTATTCATTTTTAAATGAACAAAATGATTAATCCAATATAGTCAATATTTCCCAATAAATTCCTTTCCTATTGCCCAGACTCCTCAGTACAATCCATCCAATCCCACAATTTCTCCCCCTCTGGCTCTTAGGACTCCACATCTCCTTCCATTCCCCCGGGCGTTATCCGATTTTTTTTCTCAAAAATAAATAAACTTTATCCCGGATTTTAAAGATATTTTATTCAAATAAATTAAATCCGTGTCCATGTGAATTGTTATTTCAATTTTTCCCCTTTATTTCCGTAGTTAAAAACCCTAAAGCTATTAATCATTGAAATTAATCACTGAAATTTTGGACGAGGAAATCCTAAATTCCTGCCTCTTAATTCTCTTCAAAAAGAATGAGAGGAAGAACTCCCCACCCAAAATTTACTAAAATCCAATCAACTGAAGCCCCCATTTTTATTATGTCTGCTTAATCAAATGTTCAAGTGTACTTTTTAAAAAATCAAATCCTTAATTACAAAGTCCAGGATAAATAATTAAAATAATATAGTCCAATGTGCACCTAAAAATTAAATCCCTAATAATCATTCATGAAACCAAAATCCAGGAAATCAATATAAAATAGTCCAAGTGCATTTAAAAATTAAATCCTCAATATTCATTAAAAATTTCATGTCCGAGGATAACAAACAAAAATAGTCCAATGTGCACTTAATAATCATATATAATCTCAAAGTCCTGGATACAAAAAAAGTCCTATGTGCACTCAAAAATCATATCCTTAATAATCACTCAAAGAAATCAATGTCCTGGACAAAAAAAAAATTAAAACAAAATAGTCCGATGTGCACATAATAATCATAAATTAAAGTCCAGTACAAAAAGTTAAAATAAAATAGTCCAAAGTGCACATAATCCACATAATCCGTCCTATCCTTTATGATTAAGTAGAACATAAAGGCTTTTGATTAAGCAGACAATAAAGGCTCAAAAACTAATCACTTCCTCAAAAAGGTTTTCAAGAACGATAGTAATTTAAAGCTAGTTAATTTTAAAATAAACCATTAGCATTAATTCAAATTAATCTAATCGTGAAATATTTTACACAAAATCCAATAAAAACAATAACTCAAGGATTAAAAACCTTGGGCTCGGTTATAGTAACCATCAATTATTCAACTATACTAACACTTTCAAATCTCAATTCATCTTTTATTAAATTTTTATATTAGAATAGCTGGTCCCCAATTAAACGTGTATGGTTCATTCCCCTCAGGCCATGGTTAACCCAGTCCTTCCCTTACAAATTTTCTAATGGTTCAAATGCCCTCTAGGTATTGGTCACCCCCGCCCTTTCCCCTATAATTTCTCTTAAAAAATGTTTTTCCCTCTAGGTCTGAGTCACCCCAGTTTCTACCCTATATTTTTCAAGTAAGGTTCTCCCTCCTCTTTCCTCCCTTAATCTCTTCTAAATATTTAATTTTTAATTAATTTAATTTAAAAATTATTCCTGCTCCAATCTGTATTTCCAATTCCATTCCCTCCCTATCCCATAGCTCAGAAAGAACTAAGGCAAAAAGCGACGCTAACTCCGTTCGCTTTTGCCATAAGAATAGCTGCTTACTTTTCCACTTCACCATTCTCAATCGATCTTACATTTCTTCCCCTAATAACACTTCTTTAAAAAGAAGGAAATGCACATCTTCACTTCTTTTTATTCCTATATCCTTTACTCCTTCCCATTCCTTTGTGTTCGTAAATATTTTTAAATTTAATAATTATAAATTTAAATATAAATTTAATTACAAATTATATTTAGGAATTTTTAAAGATCCCCCTCTCTTCAAGTAAAGAAATCCATTAGAATTAATTTGAAATTAATCATAATTAATCTAATTGGGAAACAATAAATCCCCTCCCCCTTCCCAAAGCTCCCAAATCACTAATAACTTCTTGAAATCTCTTCCAGTCCTACACTCATCCCCTCCCTCCCCCTCCACAATACACATTTTTCGCATATTTTTAATTTAATTACTATTTCCTACTCAATTATTAACTACAAAAATACATCAATACTCAATTATAACATCGTCTCATCTACTACATGTCGCTGGATGCTGTGAAGTAAATCAACACATATTTTTATCAGTAAAATGGCCGTAGATAAGTTTACCAAACAAAAATCTCATTAATCCCCTTCAAATTTTACCCCTTCCAATTGTCGAGTAACTTAAAACTCAAGAACCATAAAATATTACTTCAACATAAAAGGCCTTAGGGAAAATAATACTTATTCATTATCCCTGAAAAATTAAAATTAATAATTAGTCCCATCATTCATTAACACTTAAAAATACCATCACCTTAATCCAATTTTAGGGAAACCCTCAAAGATCATAATGTTATTACATAAAAGGCCTTGAGGGAAAACAGAAATAATGATCCTATCTTCCTTAGGAAATTCGAATTTTCCCTTAGTCCCATTATTCGATTAACACTTAGAAAAGCCAATCCCATTTAGCCCAAAAACCTCAAAGACCAGTTATGTATCATAAAAGGCTTTGAGAGTAACTAAATATTAGTTTATCTATTCCTGGAAAATTTGAATTATCATTAAATCCCACCCACCATTCAACTAATCCCTTTAATCAAAATTTACAACCCCTTCCAAATATACAAACCAAAATTTAAGAACCAAAAGAGACGCAAATATTTTACTTCAATTAATCCAAATTCCCCATCCCGACCCCTATAGGAGATTCAAATCCCTAAAGTACCCTAAATAAATATTTTCGAAATTATTGAAAGTGCTTAGTCAAAAACTCAATAATTTTCGAACAACTATTAATCACTTTCCTAATCTCCTCTAATACCCAAAGATGAACACACAAGTAAGTTATTATTTTCAATATCAATAACTCACTTCAACATTAATATTAAAATTCAGTCTGAACTCGAATCCGTTCCCAACACAATATGCCTCCTCAACCCAAAATGCCTTCTCAACAGAATATGCCTTTCTCAATCTCTTTTCAACTATATGACATTGCTTTCTCAACTCAATATGCTTCCCTAAACACAACTACTTTCAAATTCAATCTGAACTCGAAATTGCTCTGACCACAAAATGATTTTACCGAAGAATGAAAACGGATGAAGAAAAACAAATTCATTTTTCCAAATTTGTAATTTACAATTTTTCACTTTTCTCCCTCTAGTTTCCCTTTCAAAATATTTAATTCCAGATTTTACTGTTCCTTCCCCTCATTCATCTATATTTTATTTTTTTGGTTCTGATTTCCCTTTCCCGCTTATATTTAAGTATCGAGTCTTTAAAAACCATGGGGAAATAAATATTTTAGAATAGAACAAAATCCGCTTTCCATTAAGATCAAACGGAATAAGTAAAAACACCATTTGATCACCAAAGCCCAACGTGAAACTTCAAAATAAACATACAACCAATGGCCCAAGAAATGAAGGAATAGACAACCATCATTTCTAAATCTAACAAATACAAAATGGCGGCCTAAAAATCCACCATTTACCACACACCTCCATTGGCTCTACAAACAAAATACTAGAATAACCAAAACAAAAATAAACCCCACTCCCAAAAATGTCGGACTTAAAACCCAACATTTGATCCAAACTTCACTGAAAATTAAGAAAATTTTAATGGCGGACTAAAAAACCACCATCAGACTCAATCTTCCTTTCCCCTCCAAAAAAAACCAACCAACAATCCATAAGCGCAGGGTCGCGCTTATTGGCGGCAGGGACATGTTACCCCCAAGACTCGATACTTGCCCTTTTCATCAAGTCCCTACCCCGACCATATTTCCCATAGTTGTTTATATTTATTTTATATTTATTACTTCCCAGCCTATCTTTACACTTTATCTCTTTTCTTCTCCATTATTGTTCACCTTCTTCCGTTCCCAACATTAATCACAATTACATTTATTCTTTTGTCAACAACTTTATACACTTCCTCCCATCTTTCCCAGACACACATTGTCCGATCAACTTTGTCATATCCCACCCACTATTCCCTCTATTTAACCACTTAATTATATCCTCATCTTCGGTTCAGCTCAGTTCAATTCAGTTTTATCCAATGTTAATGTCCATGAAATATATCCCCCTGTTATTATTCTGTCCAATTACTAAAACAATACTCATTTAAATTTATATTTTAAATGAAATAAATATTATGAACTATTATTTTACTTATTCAATTAGTCCTCTGCGCCTCCCCTACCCAAATCACCCCCACACACATACGGCGCTCTGAAGGTGCCTGGACCGGGAAGGTCCAGCGCATAACTTAACCTTGATCCTTCCACTTTTCATTTGAACCAGTTAAAGGAATTGATTGGAATGATATGTCTACCCTATCAAATCCATATCTTTTAAATCGTACAATTTATAAAAGGCCAATTTGGTACCAACCAGGGGTAAGCGCAAGAGACAATTGGGAAAAACAAAACCCAACGCGAGGCCAAAATTGGTACCAACGATTTCAAAAATCAAACAAAAAAGAATTAACAATTCTTGTTTACTTTTAAGTGAATATGAAAACAAGGGGCCGCTCAATTACCACTCCTATACAGTTAATCCTCATCCGGATTTTTCCTTTCCCGTACTCCATATTATTCCAAATTTTTCAATTAAATTTCCAAAACTCACTCACGGTTGAGTATAAGTCTTTCAAGTAAATCAATTGTAGAATCAGAACAAAGGCCAGAAGAAAGAAAAACAGCAGACAATAACCAGTCGGCAGGAGGCGTTGGAAATGGATTATTTGAAAACATTCGAAGCCCAAACATTTTTTTGCGAATTTGTGTTTTATTTTGAGCTAAATTTAAGGCCAATGCATAATCAGAAATTAATGGAAGCCATTCATTGTGTGGAGGCTGGAAATAAATTAAAAATTGTTTTGTTTAGACAATGAATTCTTTAGTTTAAAGTATATATTCCCTTCCTCATAATATCCTTCTTCATCCATAGTGAACCAAAACTGGAGTTATGGCCAAGAGTTATATCCTACTAGTCTAAACATTCTGTAATTTTTAAAGGAGTTCTTCCCGTAAAAAATTAAAGATTCAATTTTTTAATTTCTGTATGATATACATATTTTTCACTTTAATAAATATCCCAAAAATTCATATACACTCGTGGGCCAAAAGTATAGCATCAAACTCCTATTAGTTAGCTATAAGATAAACATAAAAACTTTTATGTTTATCTTTGTTACTTCTACTTGATACAATTTAAAATTAAAAAATCCTTAACAGGTCTTCTATTAATTTGTCCAGTCCTTCCATTAAAACTTTCTTTTGTCCAAAACTTCGTTGCATAAGCTTTTAAAATAGAAAATGGACGGAAACGCGAATTGTTGGCATTCTGCCATTTTTCTGAGAAAATACTTTTAATTAAACGAAGTCGATTCTTTTGGGTATCCTTATTTGGAAGTAAAGATATCCAATAAAGATGATCATCTTGTGAAGATTCGAAAATTCCTAAACTGAAAGCCCTTTCTGTTTTTTGCCTCCTTTCTTCGTTTTCCCCCAATAAAGTTGCAGATAAGTGATGTCTTTGTGATGGAAGAATATCTGTATTAATAAAAAATATTGTATAGTACATTAACTTACCCCCCCCTCACAATTGTTGGCATTCTGCCAATAAATCAGAAATGTCAGAATTTTTAATTATTTCAATTAAAAGGGATGGTTGTGTTGCCAATACAAAAATGGAAGGAGAAAAAATTGAATTTATTTTTTTTCACTTCCAAATACATATTTATATTTTTCGGTAGAATTAATTGAAAGATACAGGGCTGAAAATTTTTTACCTTTTGAGAGTATATCTTAAATTAAGGGCATTGCTCTGGTAATTCCTTTACAAATTGGCTAACCAAATTTTAGACGTATTTATAATTCTATGAAGTATTTTACAGTGAAGACCTACATACTGTAATAATCTTCTTTTAAAAATTACCCAATTTATAGGAAATATCATCATCATTTTCATTTTCTATCCCCTTCTCGGTCTTTTTCAAATATAAAGAATTAGGTATATCACTAATTAAACTTTCAATTTGTTCAATATCATTAAAATATTCAAATCGTCTATCCTCTCCACTTGCCAAAATTAAATGAGAAATAAATGTTGCTATTTTTTGTGCCTCCTTGCAAAAAATTAATTGGCCGTCAGTGTCAGTAAAAAATTTTCGAAGAAGCTTAAATTTAAATATTAATTATGTTTGTGATTGGATAGTTGAAGGAATTAATTAATTAGGGTTGCTGTTTTTGAGTAGCACCGACTTTTAAAACAATTTTTCGTCTTCTTTTAACCGTTAAAGGCCGCGAGTATTTTTAGGGCCAAATATGCAATTACCGTAAATGCTGAAATAATGTCCTTCTCTCAAATAATTACTCCCGCCCTATTTATTACCACCTATCAGAGATCGAAAAAATAATTACACCTCTTAAAAATAGTTATAATTAGCCTTTTAAAAAACTCAATTAATTACCCTCTCCCTTTTAATTACCCCCTCCAGCGAGATGTCGAAACAATAATTGCCCTGGGTAATTATTTTAGCAAATACGGTATTCAATTAAAAAGGGTCTCTTTCACTTTATCTACCAAAATACCCTTCTCTTTCTTGTAGACATTCTCTATCATTCTCTAATTAAAATTCCAAAAACACCTACATTAATTATTCTCATAATTAAATTAGGAATAATATGTTTAATTTCCACCAAAAAATCCAAATTAACACTAAATAAATCCAATTTTTCAATAAACACAATTAATTCCTCTTTCGTTGAATTCTTCTTTTTATTCTCAAATTCAAAAAATTTTCTTTGTAATAAATCAGAAATGTCAGAATTTTTAATTATTTCAATTAAAAGGGATGGTTGTGTTGCCAATACAAAAATGGAAGGAGAAAAAATTGAATTTATTTCCTCATTATTTGGTAAAAAATTTAGTCCTTCATGTTGAGGAATGTCTGCTTTTAAAGGGATTTTAAATTTTTATTTTTTAAATTTTACATTATTTACTGTATTTTCTATAAAATAAGACTTCTTTAGGTTCTGGATTTTTTGAGTGAATTAGTGTTACCCGCGATTACATAGGAGCAGAGAGGCCATTTTCTCCCTTTTTACCCAAAAATACCTCCCTCCCCCCTACTCTCCCGTTTTTGTTACTATCCTTATTAGGGTTGCCAAAATGGACTGACTCAAACCGAAATATCGAATGGGCTTAGATCTTTGGCCCGAAAAAGGCTCGTACCCATTTTAGAGGATGATTGAAAAATAAATCCCTGCTTTGAGAATTAGTGTCTTAAACCTTTACTCTATTTAATTCAAAATATTTATTTATTTCTCACAATAATTTTCATTAAATTCCTCTTCTTCATTTATTTCCTCATCCCCTCCAAAATCAGAATTAACAAAAAGAAATTTTTTCAATAATTTACTAGCTCCCCGCCATTGTTCTTCATCCATTGGACGTACAGAAATTGGAAAATTAAGTAAAATAGAATTATTTTGGAAATCATTTTCTTTTTGTTTTAACCAAAATTGACAAATAATTTTCCCCAATTTTTTTCTACAAATTTTTAATTGGCCAAAATTTTGACTTTTTAGAAAACAAGGAGATAATAGAAGGTGTTTATGTGAAATTATTGAAGGGTCGGGGTTTGGAATTAATGTTGAAATTAAATTTTGGAGTTGGTCAGATAAAATGTGGACAATTTCTGTGTTGGGAGAACACTTTTCTATGAGCAATATTAAAACCTGAATTGTAGAAAAATTTATTTTAGAATCAAAAATTAAGGTAAAATTTGTTCAATTATTTATAGAAATAGTCTTTATTTGAAAATCTAATTTCAAATGTTCTCTTCTCTGTTCTCGATCTAACCGTTGAGAGGTTTGTATGTATCAGGGATGTCACGGGTTACCCGAAACACGAAACCCGGACTTTTTTTCGTCCCGAAACCCGACCCGACTTTTTTCTCAACCCGTGACATCCCTGGTATGTATATTAATGAAATCGAGGAAGACTCCTGTTAGTAATGAAAAGTTGTTGAGGTAGTACAAGAAGAGAAAAGGATTACCTATATTTCAGGATCTCGAAAAATATCAATCTAGTAAACCTGAATTTTTAATCGAGATCTCGTTTCAAGCTTTAGAGGGCCTTATAAAATTAATATTTAAGTTTGGCGTTGTCAGTTTCAAACTGAGAATTTTTTCGTTCGGTTTCGTGTGACAGAAAAATTTTCTTAATCTAACAATCCAATTTAAGCCCAAAACTTTCAAAGAATCTCCAACTCAACCCCTTTCATCTCTCAAAATTAATTTTAAAAACTTGCATTAATACAAAGTTCACGTAATTCAAAAGGATTAGTATTTCCCAAAGACGATGTAAATAATTGTTTTTTCATTATTTTTGTAGAAAAATATTTGAGATATTCGATAATTTTTGTATTTAATTTTGGAGTTAATTTAAAAAAAATTACACAATGTGAAAAAATATTTTGAAATAATTTTAATGGTAGAGATTCAAATCGAATTGAAATTTTTTGATTTAATTTAGTAATCATTAAGTTGAAAATTTCGTTTAGAAGGGATGACGAAATAATTAATTTAGCACCACAATCACTCTTAAAAAATAAAATATAAAATGATTGGTTAGAGTAACTTGGGTCTATTTTTGAATAAAAATACCATAGAAGTAGCCAACAATTCATCAACAAAAATTTTCCTTTCTCGATTATTCGATGGAATTGTTAATGCCAGATTAAAAAAATATATAATTTTATTGCAAAAACATTCTTCAAATTTAGACGGACTTGGAACTGTTTCAAATAAAAATTCTTGAAAAGAAGGCACTCGAAGACAACGTAATATTAAACAAAATTGAAATAACCATAAGTTGGGAGCTTGTTGTTGAATAGGGTCAAATTTTGAAGTCTTAAAATATAAATTTTGATTAGTTAGCCACTAGATAATGGGAGCTCCCTAATGGATATCCCCAATTTAAGATAACCCTCGTTGTAGGATATAAATTTTTAAGTCATTGGGTTATCTTATAATGAAGTCCGATTGTATTTAGATGAAAAACAGGTCATATCCTCCTATAAATCAAAATTTCAAATATGGAAAGGGAACAATCCTTCCATATAGAAGTGAAGATAAATTGAACACACTTACATTTTGCTCTGATCTATCCAAAATCTCAACAATCATTTCAGCCAATCTTGGTGTTGCCAGAGGCCTAAGTTGGTTATCATGTAACCAATTCATTAACCATTCAGCTGAAGGTTCTGCTTTAGCGAGGGTATTTAGAAAACTATTGCCAGAATTTAATCCTCCCTTAGAAGAATCTGTTTCAGAAGTAAGTAATTCCATATAACTTTGCACTATTTGTGTTAAACTTTGGCTGTCAAAATTTCGCCAAATGTATGGACCGTTTGAGAATATCTGAAATCAGATGATATAATTGAATTTGAAGTTTACATATACTCTTTAACAAGACACAAAATTTAAAAAGTTTAATCTATTCAATCGTAGTGGTTCATGCAATCTTTCCGCGCTCATCCCCCCCCCCTGCTTTATCTCATTAAAATCCCCGGGATATAACTTCCATATATTTAATCTGCTGACCGACACTTCCGGATCGTCTCTATTTTTAATAACATGCCTGAGAGAAGAAATATGCCAAATTACACTTTGCCGATTTGCTAAGAGCGTTTTTACGCATTACATTTAGTGCCACACGGCAAAGGCAAATTGAAGTTTTTTGCCAAATTACAGCATCTCTACAGTCTTTTAAATTAAATTAATTAATTTTCTTAAAACTTATTTACTCAAAATTCTTCCAATTACACTCATTGTATCGTCAAACAAAGCTGGAACAAGTAATAATGAATGCAAATTTCCAAGAAAAAGTTCAAAAGCTTTGGATCGAGAGAGTGCCAAAGGAGAAACAAAAAGTAGCTTTCTCATATTGGCTTTTCTTTAATTAAAAAATTTTTTCTATCAATTAGTATACAATTGAATATTAGATAATCTCTTGGAGATGAAAAATTGTATCCTATAGATATTAAAGGATATTTTTGGCTATGTTATAGTTACCGTAAATCCTCTAAAATAGCCCCCGGTGGCTATTTTTTCGATCGACCTCTAGAGGGGGGCTATTTTAGAGGAAATACGTTATATCCAATTTTATAAATCAAAAACCCATAAGAAAGCAGAAACCATAATTCAGAGTTTATCTCAACTAATACCGCAACCTCTACAACCACCCCCTCCATCTCTAATTCTCCTTTACCTAGCTCCAATTTCAAGATCATCAGCAACAATTAATTCAATAATAGAGCATATTTCTTCTTCTGGCAAGTCTTTTACAGAATTATCTAATAAAGAAAATCCACTCAAAGCTAATTGCTGAGTTTCTTCTTCTTCTTGAGCTTCGCCAATTTGTTTACTTTGAGAATCATTTGCATAAGTACTGGAGAATGAATGAAAGCTCCATTGACGAGGGAGTGCGAAACTCTTAAAAATTTGACTTTTCAAATAAATTTCTTTAGTAATTTTAGATAATTATTATTTTCGATTTTTAATCGGGCTCTTGATTAACCAGGTAGACAGGAGGGAAGTGATACCTAAGTGATACCCCAATAATGGATACACTCAATTTTAAGCATAAATTCTTAGTACCAAATGTGTAGGTGGATGTGAGTTCCGACTATATATCATTTATATTTTTAGTAGAATCTTTATAATATGATACTAAGCTTCGACTGTATAACACAGGAAATAACTTAACCACCCCAGTTTCTAGCAACTTAAATAAAAACTTACTTCCATTGAAAAACTACTAGAACGTCTTCTTGTTCCTTTTTCAGTTTTTGCCATTTGTGAACAAATTTTAATTATTTTAAAATGAAATCTTTTGTAAATATTTGAATTATTAACTAAATTAAAAGCAATTGATTGTAGCAATCCAAAGGATTTATTAAATTCATTTAAATTTTTTGTTTCCGTTTCTGTAAACCATAAATCCATACTTGTCCCAACTTGCAAAGCATTTTTGTTTTCATTTAAAAGATGCAGAGATGGGGATAATCTTTGAAAGATTTAAATAATTTTTTGATAAATTAAAAGTATGTATATTTAGTAGGGTTGGGGTCCCAATCCGGTCCGGTCCGAAAGATCGAGACGGCATTGAATTTTGGCACGAAATAGACTCGGTCGGGCCGGCCCGAAAAAAATGACTCGAACGTCGGCCCGACTCGAAAACCCTAACTATAATAATTAGTAATTTACTCCCCATTAGTGCTATTTAGAAATTTCGATTTTTGAGGTTTCCTTATTATGATATTTGAAATTTTTTTTGCTTCGAAACAGTTTTACTTCCCGTCTCTCTCTCTCTCCTTCTCCCTTGAACTTAAAAAGTTGAACCGAAAAGCTAAAAAATAGGGAGTGTTAATTTATTTTAGAAGAAAGATCAAGTTAATTAAAGGTAAATAAATACTTAACCAAAAATTCTGATATTTTTGGAATTATTTTAAATTTTATTAACCAATTCTTATTTTTTACTAACCTATTTATTTGTTTATCAATTTCCATTCTCATTTCAAAACTTAATTTTTCAACTAAAAAATCAACTAAAAATGAAGAGAAGCTTTCAGAATTATTTGTTTTTAAATAATTTTTAAGTAAAATTTTTAAACGTTGTTCATCCATTTTAAAATAATTTCAGACAAAAATTTGTTGGGAAAAAATAAAATTTTTATTCAAAATTCTATGAAAAATAAAAAAAAGGAAAATTATTTTTATTTTAAAAATTGTTCTTGAAAAATATTCCTTTTTATTTTTAAATTTTTTGTATATTTTTATTAAACCGTTGCTAAGGGAGTAAATAAAAAATATAATTTAAATTGTTATATTTTAAATAAATATACTTACCTATAACCTTTTTTTAAAATTATGACAAAGTTGAGGGAAATTTTGAAATTTTTTTGAAAATTTTTTAGAATAAAATTTCCCAATCTTTTACACTTTTTATTGAATGATTGATATGAGAATAAATTATGATAGAAAAGTGATTTCTTCACGACATTATAATTATTTTTAATCTATTAGAAAATGTCCCGTTCCATAAAGTTTGTTAAAAAGTTTTGGAAAAAAGAGTTCCTATTTTTAAAACTTTTTTCGCAGATTTTTTGAACATAAGAAATTGAATCATTTAGAAGATTAAAAATAATTTTTTTCAAAATTTAATATTTAAATATTTAATTGACAAAATAATTTAATTAATTATACATAAATATTTGGAAATTAAAGAAAATGTAAAAAATAATGAATGAAAATAATAAAGGAAAATTTAATACATTAAAGAAAATCTTTAAAAAGTTTTATGGAGGTATTAATAAAGAGATAAAAATTCAAAATTTATTTTCAAAACAATTTTGGTAATTATCTGCGGCTCGTCTTAAAAATTTTGCTGAAAATTTAATGAATTCAATGAAAAACATAATTGTGTGCCCTGAGGTTGGGTCAAACCTCAACCTTTGCTCAATAGGGTCTAATATTAAACAACTGAACTACGCGAGCACACAGTTGACTCGCTTTAAAATATACTAGCTGTTGTTTTTTTCTTTTTATTTCATTCTCCATTAGCACGCAAATAGGGTTACCACTGACGAAATAAAAAGAGAAAACAATAGAATATTTGAAAGAGGACCAGCTGTGTGCTCGTGTAGTTCATTTGTTTAATGCCAGAACCTGTCGAGGCAGTTTGGGGTTCGACCCGACCTTCGTGCACACGTTTATTTTATTATCAGATTCACAAAAATTTCGAGCAAATATCCTTCTGGAATATTAGTGAAAGTTTAAGTCAATTACCTATCTAAATTTTATTTTTTAAATTACTACAAAAACATAGATATTTTTTATAAAACGATAAACGAACATTTTTTGAAGTTAATAAAAATTAATGCTGCGCCCGAAGGTTGGTTAAACCCCAACCTTTGCTCAACAGTATCTAACACTAAACGACTGAACTACACGGGCACAAAATGCGGATTTTTTAAAACTGCTCTTACATATATGAAATTTTCTATTTTCTTTTTATTTTATTCTGTAACAATGGCAGCGTTTAAGAGGAAACCCAATGTGTGCTCGCGTAGTTCAGTTGTTTAATGTTAGACCCAGTTGTGCAAAGGTTGAGGTTCGACCCAGCCTTCGGGCACACGGTTATTTATTTTCTAATTCATAAAATTTTTAACCAAATTTTAATAAAAATATTTTAAGATAAGGCTCCAAACTAAAATTTTTAAAATCGTATATACCTAATTTACAATCAAAAAGTGCCAACTTACAGGACTATTTAGTAATATTAAAATTTAAAATAAATTAACACAATTCATTTTTCTAAAGTTTATTTATGCTAATTGTTAAAATTATTTTTTACATAATTAAAAATAGGTATTTATTTAGTCGAAATAAAATTACACAAAAGTAAAGATTTTAAGAAAAATTTCAACACCTTTTAATCGGAAAAAATATTTAAAAAATATTTAATAAATATTTCGACTAATTGTAAGAATACGACGGAATGGCAGAAAAATAATTTGTATTTTTAATATATTTTAAGGTATTTTTTTAATAAAAAGGTGATTGTTTTTTGGTAATAATTAATTAGCAATCACCGGATTTTTTTTCTTTAAAATAATTAACTGTCCTTTTTTCTTCTTAAAAATATCTTCTTATTAATTTTATTCACATTTTTCTTCTCATCATTCCGCAACTGGAGTCGGAGTAGAAACACAAGAATTATGGGTGTTATTGTTGACAGAATAACGTATAAAATTGAAAAAAATAATTAGAAGAATTTTAGAAAAGAATAAAAATTTTGGAAAATTTTTATTTTTAAATATCTACCTAGTCGGCCGGTCAGCTTCTTCCATACTGCTAAAAAAATAATTTTTTTAATTAGAAAAATAGATTATTACGAATTTACCTGCTAAGAGTTCGTTGACGTTCCATTCCAGGAATCGGAACACCAGAAAGAACACCGCAACCCTTACATAACAAAATCAATGAACGAGCAAGATTACTAGGCTAAATTAAGAATTGTTTGATTAAAAAACAAAAGAAATATACCGCTTCTTGAAGAATATCACAAACTCCATCCACCACAAGAAGTGTAGTCTTTTTCTTATTCATTCCTTTATGCATATGATAAACTGACTAAAATTAACTGAATTTAATATGGAAATTGTACAAAAAAGGCTAAAAAATTTTAATTATTGTGAGGCAGAAAAAGGGAATTTTCTGACCAAAAGTATTTAAAAAATATTTTTGTTATTTTCTACAACCGAACTACCGTATTTACTCTGGTAATTCCCCAGGGGGATTATTGTTTCAACCCATCTCTAGGGTGGGGAATTAATAAAGACTGGGGAATTAATAAAGACTGGGGGATTACTAGAGTAAATACGGTAAATACCAAAAGGAATAAAAGAAACCCTCTCACTCTCTAACTTGTAAAAATTTTATATTTTAACCTGAAGATGTGGCGATCGCGATCCGGAAACCATCAAAACATCCATACTTTAAAATTTTTTAAATAAAATAATTAAAAAAAATACTTGTCCAATTTAGCACCAATAATTCCAGAAAAGTCCGTTCGCTTGCTAAAACTGTAGAGGTATTTACTTAAATTTCGAGCATTTATCGCATCCTTCAATTCATCAATATATTGTTGCTTCTCATGTTTATCACTCTGAAAATAAAAAATAAATTGAAAAATATTTTTCAAAAATTAACCGTTCCAAATTTATGCATCATTAAATAGTCCCAAGCGCCTGAAAATTATATTGAAAAGTAATTTTTTCAAAAAAACCTTGTGTCATAACACCACTCTCCAGTCGCAAATTCATAAGCATATCTTTGAAGTATTCAATAAAACCAGCTGAAAATAAAGAATTTAAATTGGAGATGAAGAAGATAGGATGATTTAAGTGATTGTATCATAATCAAGAATATTTTTGGAAAAATCAAACACTAATAGAAATATTAAACTACACAAATTTGGCCTGAAACTAATCTCTTTGGCTAGAGACCAGGAGAAGTGGTTCAAAAACAAAGAACCAGACCAGAATTAAAAGGGGACAGGATCCTCGATAAATTCAAAACTTAAATGGTTACTAATACCCCAAAAAAATTCTAAGAAAAATACCAGTCGTCGAGGTGCAATTAACCAAAATAATCCCCATTATACGATTTGGCCAGACCAATGCAAATCTCGAAATAATATTAGCACCAGCTCCTTCGCCGAAAGCAATACATGTGCGGACATCAACCTAAATATTCAACAAATTTGATAAATTGATGAAAATAAACCTCGTCGAGAACACAAACCAAATCCTCACCAAGCTGCCCAAGCGAAGGAAATCTCAAATAAAAATTATTTTAGAGACCATTTCAACTCTTTTTGTTATTTGCTTTCCACATTTGGGTATAGCAAATTCCATTTTGCTTAATCGGTTAAGCCTCTTTTTGATTTTTCTCAAAACCGTCCTATACCCAATTGTTTGTTTATATTTTCTATTGCTTTGTTATTCTATTTGTTTTGAAAAGCGCTTTTGAAAATAAGCGCATTACCATCCAAAGTATAATTGTGTGTAAATACCTGAATTTACTAAAAAACACAATTACTAAACAAATATTCAAAAAACAACAAACTTACTCTGCAGTAAAGTCTGGAGCACTATCTTCCTGTCCTGGAACACAAACATGCAAGAAAATAGCCCTTTCCTTTACACTTTCCATTGAAGGATGATTGACAAAACGAATGAAAGATTTGTGATTTGTTCCGACATCGTGAACTGTCAGAATGACCTAAAAAAGATAATAGGAAACTTTTTAAATTTAACTCTTACAGTTTTTCCAAAGCGCTCATTCAAATCTCCTTGAATATAGACTTGCAGAGTGGAATATTTGCCCTAAAATAGAAAAATTGAGATAAGGTAAAATTTTTCAATCCTAACTGTTTTAATGAATAAAGACTTAAGTTTTGTTGTTTGTGGGTTTTTATGAAACGGATACCTTGCAACAGAAATTAAAAGTTAAAAATTATTTAAAATTTCGGTAAAGCTAGGACATGATAACCAGGGGGCGTATTCTAAGAAGCGGGTAGGAGTACCTGGTAAACTTACCAGGTTCTTCCTACTCGAGTAATAGAACCTCGAGCTGAGGGTTGGTCAACCCGCAACCTCGTTCTTAGAATACCACCCCAAGTAAATCAAGGCCAAGAAAATTATAGTCCCAGTCAAAGAAAATTCAAAAAGAGGTTAAGCCTAGGATTTAACCTGACAAATTAATAAATAGAAGATAGTGAAAAAAAAACCCACCTTCACAGAAATCATCTGAAAAAATAAAATTACATTTTTAAACTTAAATTTTTTGAAATTTACCTGAACGTTCTCATTCTCGGCCGACATTTTGATTACTTTTAGTTAAATAATTTTGATTAAAAAAAGAATTTTTAATAAATAAGCCTTAAAAATAAAAATAGATTATGAAGAAAATAATAAGAAATCCCGCAAATTATTTTTATTAACGTGCATTAAAAGTCAAAAACATCCTAGTTCCGTGCACAATACTGCACAAAAATAAAAAAAATAAAAATAATAGTTAGCCCAAAGTGCGCCCTTTGTACTAAGGTTAAGTGAATGAGGAGGCTGTCAATAATAAAGAAAACATTGGGCATGCGGGTAGGGTCGTTTAGGCGCCTATGGTTTGGCAACAAGGACGTTTTTGTTAATAATTAATTTTATTCTTAATTGATTAGAGGAATTATTTTATTATTTTAAAGCCCTATATCTGAGAATTTTTTTCAAAAAGAAACTGAAACTAAGTAAAAGAAAAAAATGTCAAATAAAAAACCCGACGCCAAAACCTGCACGCCGAAACGTTGTTGGAGTGTGCCCAGCTAAACCTCTTTTTCTTCTTTTTATCCAGTCAACACACTGGACTAAAAAGAGATAAACAAACACCCTTCTTTTTAAAGTAAATCAATTCTTTTGTTAAATATTTTCATTGGACTGGAACTGACTGAAATATTTTTAATGTTTTCTCAGCTGTCGCGCGGCCATATTTTATTTTAATAGTTTAAATGGTCGTATGACAATTCTGATTGTTTATCATTTTTATTGGAAGTTTGTGTGGAGATTTATAAAAGATGAAATTTAAAAGAGAAAACAAGAGATTGTTGCATAAAAATCATAAAAACATTTTCGTTACGGTCGGGATTTCCTTTTTTAAAGGAACAATTTGGGGGTTTCAAAGGGTTTTCGTTGGTAGTCCAATTATTTGAGAATGAAAAAAATTTCTTAACACTTTTTACCCTCTTTAAGCTAAGAAAGCGGGTAATGAGGAACAAGATCCGAACCGGTGGCCGTTGATTCCGATACGCAAACGAAAAAAATTGGAAATAGAAATTTTCTCGAGTGTAGAAAGGAAATAGTATATAATAAGTACTTTGTCTGCCTTTGAAATTTAATCTCCTCACGAGTTTGATTTTTATCGAAGATTTTTTGAACCGAAATAAAAATAATCTTTAATCGGCTGCAAAAATCTATTTGTGAATACTAAAAAATGAAATAACATTTTGTTTGTCAACCCTACTTAGTACATTCAAAGTACTCCTACAGTCATAGAAATGGAAGTATTAAAAGTGAGAATAACTAAACAAAATTTACGTGAAAATAAAACTAAAGGAAAGTAAGTATTAAAAAAATAAAAATAGTAAATCGAAAAGAAAACATGTGATTAAAGAAGATGTGTAAATGAATTAAAAACTTTGTTGAAAAACAAAAAAATTAAATAAACAAAAATTGACAATTTTACAGTGACGTTTTCAATTATTTTTAACTGTTGGACATTTTTAAAAATTACCATTTACAAAATTTTCCCTTTTTGACCATTTATCCCTATTAATTACATTTTGCCAAAAATTAGTTTTTCAAAAAATATTAAAAATGACAAAATATCCCTTCACAAAAAATTTATTTTTTTTCGACTTTTTCTGATTTTTAATTTTTATTTTTTCAGTTTATTATCAAAATACTTACTACAGCCCAACAATGTCTTTAAATAATTTCGATTCGAATGGAAAAAGAAGAATTTTGCTCAATGAATGCAAAAAAGTTTATATTCAAAGAGATTATAGTCAAGCGCTTATTATTCGTTTTTCAACAGAATTTCCTGAAGAACTTGAAAATTATGTTAGTTTTTTTTAATTTTTTAATATTCTAAGGGATGGGTTCCTTGCCCTATTTTGAACTAGTTTGGTAATATTGAACCTGACACAGGCCCGTAACTAGGATTTTTTTTCGGGGGGGGGGGGGGAAATTTTATTGCGCCAAATTTTTGGCGCCGAAGGCGCCAAAAATTTTTATTTTTAGCGCCGCAGGCGAAAATTTTTTTAATTTTAGAAGGCCGTAGGCCAAAAAATTCACTTTTTCGGCGCCGCAGGCGCCAAAAATTTGATTTTCAGCGCCGCAGGCGAAAATTTTTTGAATTTTGGACCTCAAGAAGCCAGATTTCGTCCTTTTTTAGCGCCGCAGGCGAAAATTTTGAAAATTTCGAAGGCCGTAGGCCAAAAAAATTCACTTTTTTGCCCCAGCCCTTCCCCAAATTTTTTCCTTTTTCCCATTTCGGGGGGGGGAATTCCCCCCCTCACCCCCCCCTGGTTACGGGCCTGACCTGACAGATTCCTTTTTTCTCCCTAAGTTTTTTCCTATATATTTTGCAGAATGGTCAGACATTTTCCCTTCTTCCATACCGATTTTCCTCTCAATCAAATGGTGAATAAAAATAAATTCTTTTTGATTGTTTGTAAGCTAAATATAGAAAGGCTGGAAGACGTGAAAATGTCTGACCATTCTATAGATATATAGGAAAAAACTTGGGGACAGAAAATGGAGTCTGTCAGGTTCAATATTACCAATATACATTCACATTTCATATTTAACTAGGTTCGAGTCTTTTTTTCAAAGATTGACAACATTTTCATCTTCGAGTAGTCTAACAATAAAAATTGGGCTTCCTACCTGCTCTCGAAGCTTTGTCTAATTAAAATTTCTAGTCGAATGAAATAACCTCTTTCATTTCATTTTTAGATAAGCAGACAATTATGGACTGAATTTATTAATAATTTAAATCAAATATATTCTGATGCAGAAAAGCTCTCTTCAAGAGCTTATGCAGAAAATATAATTGCTTTATTAACATGCCATCTTTCTCGTCTTTGTTTTAAATCTTTTTGGACGAAAAAATTGGAAGAAGCAGAATCTTTAATTGATGAGGCTAATCAACAACATTTTGTTAATGATGGAGTTTATGTTGGAAATCCGTTGGATAAAGGATTTAGAGTGGTATATTTATTTTTTTTTAAACTTAACCGAAAATTTTTGGCGCTAACAAGTCGTATGTCTTTAATTAAATTATCCATAAAACGTTAAAAGACATCATTGAAAGGTTAATGAGAATAAAAATGAGAAGACATATATTTACTAGAATTTTTGGCTTTACTGCAGTTTACGAGTTCAATCACAGTTTATGAGTCCTTTGAAAAGTTTATGAGTCACCGACATACCCCGTACGCACAAAAATCAAATTGGACTTATAAACTGCAGTAGAGCTGAATTTTTCTCTTGTGAGTGTCCGGGATTAATCCTTTCCATGTCAGTAACTTAACTTTATGTTAGGTATCCGTTCCCAGATTTGTTTTGAAAAGATAGAATGCCTTCTAGACAGGAACATATTTACTTTACTTTTAAATAAATTTCACTTTTTTTAAAGATTGAAGTCGTTTTGCTAGACGAACCTTTTGCTGTTGGTTCTGGAAAGGCTGATAAAGATGCTATTTCTACACCAGTTCAAGGACTTCAACCTCGGTGACAACTTAATCCCCAGAAATGACCAAATCATAATATTAAACAACCATTTATAAATAAAAATTTTAGAATTATTGCATTCATTCCATTTTTGTATGCTTACAAAAATTTATCTTTTTTGGAAATAAATATTTTTAGATATTTTTATTCTTAATTTAATTATGTTTTTTAGACTTTTCTTATTTTTTTTAAATTGATTAATTTTGGTTATGTTTTTAAATTTAATTTACATAGTTTGTAGATGAACGCTCGTACATAATTTTAATTCAATTTTAGAAATTTTTTTTTAATTTTTCGATGTCAGTAAAATCCGGTGCTCGTTTATTAAATGAAAATTTGTCTTTAAATGTGTCCAAAAATGTTGATTTTCTTGGTTGGTATAAACAAGTTTGTTTTATTTTGAATTTTATTTACATTTTTTAGTTGGTTACAAAGTCAGAATTAATTGATGATTATAACTTGCCTGGGTTTTTTATTTTGCGTCCATGGGCTTTTTCAATTTGGGAGTCGGTGCAGAAATACATGGGAGAACGTTTCCAAGAGATTGCGGTGAAGAATATTTCTTTACCTTTATTTGCCCCTTTTATGGATAAATTGGAAGAACGCTATGAGGATTTGTTTCCAAATGTTTGTTTTCTTTTTGAAATTTTTTTAGAAATTTACGGAAATTTTTAAGAACCTTAACTGATGTAATTTCTTGCCCGAATACTCTAAAATATGTTACTCTAATCTTTATTCAATAATTTTTGTCTTTAATTTTATTTCAAATAGGGTTCTATAGGGCTAGGTTATATTTGATGCTATAAGACCTCACTTCTATAAATTTTATCTTTTTATTAAAACCTGACCTTTATGTGCTTCTTATAAATAAATTATATACATATATTTTTATTAAATTAATTTTTAGATTTTAGACATATTTTCTCACACATGCTGGTAATGATCCAATTAAACATTCAATTGCAATAAGGCCAACAAGTGAATCTCTAGTTTATTCAGATTTTGGTAGATGGTGTAGATCTTGGCGTGATCTCCCTTTTAGAATAAATCATTGGTCTAATGCTTTGGTTTGTTTAAAAAATAAATTTTTAAAATTTTTTTATTTATTTTAGAGATGGATTGAAAATCCAATTCCATTTATTTATAGCAGAGAATTTCTTTTACAAGAGGGTTATAGTGGTTTTACTAATAGAGAAGAATCAATTGATGAAGTTTATAAAATGCTAGATATCTATAATAATATTTATAGTGATTTATTTGCAATTCCTGTTTTGAAGGGAAGAAGATCAGAAAAAGGAAAATTAAAAGGAAGTGATTTTTCTACATCAATTCAAATTATTGAACCAAATAATGGAATTGGAATTCAGGTTTTTTACTTTTTTAGATTTTATTTATTTGAATTCTTGGACTTTCGTGGGGGGAATCAAGGCGTTCATTCGGTTAATTATTGTCCATAAATTTGCTAACATATAACTTTTTTAAAGCTTATAGAAATTAAAAAATAAAATATATTCTTGGGTGTTTTTATTAGGCTAGTCTAGATTAATCCGGAATAGTCGGAGTTAGACGTTGTCGTGGTTCATCTTTAGTTTACGTACTTCTGTTTCCACAAAAATTAATTTCACAGTTGCTATTTTTCCATTCTTATTAAAATTTTAAAATAAATCTTTAAGGCTGCTTCATCCACTCATTTGGGTCAAAATTTTTCAAAAAAATTCTCTATTTATTTTGATAATCCAAAAAATCTAGGAGAGAAAGAATATATTTGGTTAACTCGTTATACTTTATCTATTCGTTCAATTGGTGCTTTAGTAATGACTTTTGGTGATGATTTTGGGTTGATTTTACCGCCTAAATTAGCTCCTATACAAGTTTAATTTAAATAAAAAAAATTTCGAAAAATTTATTTAAAGGTTGTAATTATTCCTGTTGGACTTGATAATTGTAAAAATGAAAAGGATAAATTTAATTTAATTAAAAATATTAAATTAATTAATGAGAAATTGAAAGAAAGTGGTTTACTTGTTGAAATGGATATTCGAGAGGAGGTATTAAATTCTTTTAAATTAAAATTTTGGGTTCATTTTGAAAAAATCCTTTTAAAAAGCTTCAAGAATACCACCAAGGGACGTGAAAATTCCATAAGTAAAGATTATTCTCGATTTGAGATCGAACGTTCAAACATCTCATCTGTCGGGGATTCTGCTAGATATCGATCTTGATCATTTCTCACATCCTGTCTTTTCTTATAAGGGGGAGGGAGACTCAATATTATTAAATCATTATTTTATTGTTGTATAATAAAAATATATTTTTTTTTTTATTTTTATGTTTCAAATGAAGACAAATCTGACTATTGGAAGGTTCGTTGCAACTTTTTATAAACTTAATTTTATTTTTTTAGTTAAAAGGAGTGCCAATTCAACTTGAAATTGGATTAGAGAATCTAATAAGCCGACAAATACCTTTAAATGTTCGTTTTTATAACGAGAAATGTATTCTTTGCTTGGATAATTTAGCTGGGGAATTGGAAGTTTTACTTGAAAAAATTCAAAGTGATATGCTTAAAATGTAAACTTTTTAATAGAAGATATAATTAGGTGCTCCTTTAAAGGATCGGTTACATTTAAAAGAAATACACTTTTTATATAACTATTAATTTTCTATTAGAAAAATAAAATCTAATGAAGGGAATTTCTTTAAAAGGATCTCTCTAATAGAAATCTAGTAAAGTGTTCTCTAATAGGAGAGTCCTTGCATTTAAAAGCACTGTTTGAACGAATCTCTTAATCTTCTAGGTAATATAAGGCACTTTTTAGTATAAGTTTTTAGTATAGTAGAGGACTCTTTAGGGGGTTGCTTTAAATGGTTTTTACATTTTTAGAATAATTGTCAATTTTTTAACTCTATTTTTTCTCTAGAAAAACAAAGGAATTAAATAACTGCATCGAAATGTGTCTCGATTGGGAACTTTTTATATCAAAATTGGAAAGATATTCAATTTTGCTTTCCCCTTTTTGTGGACATTTAAAATGTGAAGAATCGATTGAATCAATGTTAAATTCAAAAGGAATTAATTCAAAACTTTTAAATATTCCTTTTGAACAACCAAAAGATTATTTTGGCAAAAAATGTATTAATCCAAAATGTAAAGAAAAAGTGGAGTTTTTTGCTTTATTTGGTCAAAGTATTTGTTAAAAGAAATTTTTTTGTTAATTTTTTAAATATTTTCTTCTTAATTATTAAAAAAAGAAGATTAATTAATTAATAAATTATTAAATAAGAAGAAGACGAAAATGATAACAATTTTTTTGGTAATTAATAAATTGTCTGTTTGGCCTGATCGCCGCTATCTTTTCTTACATTTAATCAATAAAATATTTTTATTATTAAAAATGGTGGTCATTTTTATTTTTATTTATTCACATTTTGTCGACTACCCCTTTTTTAGTAGTGACATTCTCTTAAATAAATATATTTTTCTCCTTTTTTTGATATCAAATTCCGAAAAGAGAATGCAAAAATAAACAGAATAATTTCTCAATGTCCTAATTTTAAGGCCACATTTTTGGGAATAAAAAGTGTGAGTAATGTTTTGAAAGTTATTTGTTAGTCAGACTTGTACAACATCCCACCTTCCCGCCCGATACTCGCATTAATGTCAGATTTTTTCTGCACGGGAGAGGTGTCGTGTCGTACAAGTCCAACTGTAATACCAAAAATCACTTTTTAAATACCAATATGAGATAGTTTTTATAAATTTATTAAACTTCCTTATAGGTAGGCTAAATTGTGTAATTGACTCTGTTTCATCCATCTGGATTTTTCAAGTTTAGGCAACCGCAAAGTCATGTTTAAATGAAAATTCTTCTTAATACTTCTCGTATTTTCTAGTTTTTCTCTTCTTTAAAATTAATTTGGGATGATTAAAACACACTCTTCTTTTAATTTTTTGTTGGAAGAATCGGGGTAAGAAGATTAATATTTAAAAGTGTAATGAAAAATAATAAGCCAAAAAGTGTCGAAGGTCTGGGTTCGGGACCCAATCCTATAATTTAACCTATTCTTTAAACACATTTGAATTAAATAATTTTTTCCCAGATTTTTAAAAATATTTTCAAAACAAATATCAATTTAAATAAAACATTTACTAAAGAAAAAATTAATTAAAAATTCTTAAAAAAATATTGTAAACTTTTTATAACGTGTAATTTCTTTTTAATTTTGCCCTTTTTCTTCAAAAATGTGCAAATAAAGAAAACAACTTTTTTAATAAAAAAATTTCTCCCCTATTCTTTTAATTTTTGACAAAAATAATTAATTCTTTTTTTTTATCAAAAGAAATAAATTTTAATCATCCAGAAAATCTAAAAATATTTCTTCTAATTAATTTTTCTTTTCTAAAAATAAATTATTAAAAAATTCTTCCTTTTTTAATCTTTATTTTAAACAATATATCCCCCCTCCCCATCCATTATTTAATATCAACTCTCTTTATTAACATAAAACGCCTTGGGGGAAAAGAATATTTTTTTCTACATTTTCTAATCGATTGTTATTTAACACAAAGGAGGCATTTCCACCCGCCTTTTAGTTGTTCTCACTTTTAAATTTTTTTTTATTTTATAATTTTTTTTATCCATTTTCTACATATTTTTATTTGTTTTAATCCTCCCACAAAGCTTTTGAAATTTTTTAATGAAGTGGAGGAATTAAGAGAAAAAAGAAAAAAAAGTAAAAAATTTCATCCTCTTTTTAATTCTCTTTTCAATTTGCCACTTTTCACTATTTTTTATCAGAAAAACGCAACTTTTTACAGACAGAATTAGGGGGTAATACACCGTTAGGACATTTTACCGAAAGAACATTAACTCATTGAAAGACCTTGAAACTCTTTGATTTTGAACAAAACTACATCCTTTTTTTAACCAGCCTTCAATAAACTAATGAATTTTGGGGAATTTTTCAGAAAAAATCAGAATTTTCTGATTTTTTAAAATTTTATTTTGTTTTAGGTGAATTGTCTTTTCCGTGAATTTCCAACTTAATTTTCACCTAATAATTCATTTCTACTTACTCCGTTTACTCTCAAAAAATTAAGCAACTTTTCTTTGTACAGCCTTTAAATTACAAAAATGCAAGGGAATGAAATTGAAAAAGAAAAAAATAATGAAATAATTAATAAACAAACATTAAATAATAATGAAAATAATGATGAAAAAATGAATAAATTGGAGGATAGACTTGAACAAGCTGGAATTGTAAAACCTCCAGATGGAGCTTTTGGGTGGGCTGTTGTTTTTGCTAGTTTTTGTACAAATGGAATTGTTGATGGAATTATTTTTACCGGTAAATCTACTATATTTTATCCATAACTATTGTTCCGGCGTTTTTTTAGTGAGATGGTATATTTAGATATGAGAGTACCCATTTTATGGTACAGATTGGTGGCTACCCCTTCTCTCACAAATTTAAAGGAGCTGAGAGCTGTTATGCATTTTTTTTATGTTATGCATTAGGATACCGTAAATACTTTATTAATTACCCTGGGTAATTAATAGTGGCGGGGTAATTATTTGAGTGAGGGTAATTAATAGAGTATATACGGTAATTGTGAAATAGGATATTATGGGCATTATAAGATACAAGTGTTCAGCCCCAAAGGTTCGACATGGAGGTTCAATTGTATTACCAAAAGGATACCCAATTGTACTATTATAATTTAACAAAAATTTTAAATTAAAGTCAGTGCAAGTCTAGTACCCCGTTGGGAACGTTTTTTCAACAACAACACAGTAACTAATGTAACTTCTCTTTTGGCTGGCTTTTATTTACTTTCTGGCCCTTTAGCTTCTGCTTTGGCTAATTCTTTTGGTTGTAACACTGTTGCCGTTGCTGGTTATTTTAAATAGGAAATTAAAAAAGAAATTTTAATTAGGGGCTTTTATTGCTGCAATAGGCTTTCTTGTTAGTGCCTTAATCCCTGCTTTGCCTGTTTTGTATGTTGCTTTTGGAATTATTGGGGGTTTGAAAAAATTGGAAATTTTCTTTAGAAAGTAGTCTTTTTAGGAATTGGTTTTGGACTTGTTTTTCTCCCCGCAATTGTTATTGTGGGGCAATATTTCTCAGAAAAAAGAGCTTTGGCAACGGGAATTGCTGTTTGTGGTTCTGGTATTGGAACTGCTATTTTTGGGCAGGTAAATGAATTAATGAAACTTTAAATTTTCTTTGAAATTTTGTAAAATTTCTGTTCTAATAGCCACCTATTGTGATCACCTTCATCCTATTGTTCTCTAGTAAAAATAGTTTTTGACTGGGATTTAGTAGAGGTTAATGACTGAAATTAATAGAAAAACTCTACAACAAGATGGTGACCGATAGTATTTACACAAGGTTGTCGGATCTCCGGATCCGAAAAAAGGCCGGATATCCGGAAATCTTCGGTTTGGATATCGAATCCGGATATCCGAAGATTTCCAACTATCCGATAACTTTAATAGTAGTACATATACATTTCTTTCGGATCTTTTTCTCTGCTGAGACGAGATAAATTAATCTGTGTGGATCTCGGTCTGATAATTATCGACCTACTAAAGAATATTCTTTATTGAAAGGGGCGATTATTAGAATAAATTATTTGTGGATGTGGGTATTGGAGAGGAAAATACTCTTAATTCAACCAATTAATTGTACAAATAAATTTTGTTTTCAAGATTAATCCAATAATTCTCGATCATTTTGACAAACTTGTTGGTGAAGAAGATAGTTGGCGTATTTTTTTACTTTTTCTTTCTGCAATAACCCTAACTTGTGCAATATTTGGTTGCTTCTTTAAACCTTTAAAACCTTCAAAATCGCAACTTGAACAAGTGAAAATTTGAAAGAATTTTAATAAAAAAAAAACTTTTTTATAGTAAAGGTGGTTAAAATTGCGAGTGAATTTATGGGAAAAGGTGGAAATAATGAGGAAATAATATTGAGAGAGGAAAATGAAGAAAATAGTAAAATTATTAGAAGGCCTTCTGACACTACAAAAATTACTCAAGGAGTGGAAATTGAACGGTGAATTTTTTGTAGCTTTACAGTATAGTTCAAATAAAAAGAAGGCTATATTTTTTTAATGGTTTTTAACCCCTAGTTTTGTTAAACCTCCCCAAAATGGAGCTCTTTCACGTCGACGAGTAGATTCATTTTCACAAAGATCTTTTTTATCAACACTTGAATTGTTGGCTAGTCGACATGCACTAGTTGGTGATTATTTTTAAATTTTTATTTTTTTATGAGTCCAATTAATTATTAAAATTTAAGAAAAAAAAAACAATTTTAACTTGCTCAATTTCTTTAACTCATTTTCCAATATACGGAGAGAGAAAAAGAAACAAACAAAAGAGTAGGGCGTTTAAAGTAAATATTTACTACGCTAGCACAGCGACATTTATTTTAAATAATTTTCCTCCCTTCTTTATATAAAGAAGAAAAGAGGTTAAAAATGTTCATTCCAAATGGACATATACTAAAATTGGAACAATACAGAGAAGATTAGCATGGCCCCTGCGCAAGGATGACACGCAAATTCGTGAAGCGTTCCAAATTTTTTCTCAAATCAAAAAATAATTTTTTGGATTTGTAAATTGGAGAGTAGAGATTAATTTAAATTAAATAATTCTTTAATTAAATTAGGACCAATCAAGCACTTCAAATGCCAATTTGGCAAGAAAAGTCAGCAAAGTTGGAGTTATCGACCTAAATCGCCCCCTTAGCCGAATGGATGTTTTCTACACCGGATCAACTCAAAGTTTGGCAAAGAGAACACAAAACAGAATGCCAAATTTTAGCGAAAATAATTTTTTTGAAAATAAACAAGAAGCAAAACCTTCAATTGGAAAATCTAATCTTTATTTGAGTGCTGCTGGTTTACATACTTTGGAAGGGGCGGCAAAGTCTGGAATTGTTTCCTCTAAATGGACTAATAATATTATTTCTGTAAATATTTTTTTATTTAAAATAAGAGAGCCCTCACTCCACCTTAATAGACTAGGAGAAAAATTATCTAAAATTTTTCCTTCGCTATTAAAATACCTTATTATATTCGGGTTTATCAGAGATATAACAAAGTTGAGAGCACAAGAATAACACTTTATCCAATGTAGAAAGTTACAATAAAGGCGGAGATGGAATTGGACCTTCAATAAAAATAGGAAACAAATACACAATGTTATTAGATTAAAAAAATAAATTTCAATTTTTCAGTCCCTTCGTTCAATGCTTGATTTGGGCCTTTTACAAAGCCCAACATTTCTTGTTTTGGCAATTAGTGGTTTCTTAACACTTTTTTGTTTTTTTGTGCCCTTTGCTTTTATTGGTGAATTAGCTGCTAATAAAATATCTTCAACAACAACAACAACAAATAATTTTAATAAAAATGATACAAATAATTTAAATAATTCGGAAAGTGGTTCTGCTTCCCAATTACTTTTGGTTCTTCTTGGTAAGAAAGATATAGAGAAATTGAGGGACATTTTCTTGTTTTTAGGCCTTTTTAACGTTGTTGGGCGTGTTTTATGCGGGTAATTTTTTAATTAAAACAAAAATAACATTGAAGGGATAGTTGATATATTTTGAATTTTAGTGAAAAAAAGATGAGAAGCACATATTCTTATTCCCAAATAATTTACGAGTTCAGAAAATTAATTTTACCAAATAATCACTCCTCTATTTATAATAGGACCATTGATACCCTATTTGACGGTAAATCTAATTTTGTTTTGAGAGGAAACTTGATTGTGGTTACTACTTTTCGCTATAATCGGGTTGATAATATCATCAAGGGTGGGTTTAGTCATGTGTCTTGAGAGAGGCAAGAGACTCTCTTGCTTTAAGAGATCTCGTGTCTTGTATTTTGAAGGACGAGGCCCATCCCTGATGTCCATCCGGATGCCGTATAACACCTGAATTGACTACAATTGCCACTCCTCATGCCATTACCCGAATAACACTAAAATACCCACAGATATATGTACCTAACAACGTCATTAATATATTTGTCATTCCCTTGCTAATTTCTTCTTCTCGTTTAGTTACATTTCCGATCACCCAAAAGTCGATCCTTTAATTGTTTCAAATATTGCTTTAATTATTGGCGGAATAGCTACAGCAATTGCCCCTTTACTTAATCAACTTTGGATGTTTGCTATTTATTGTTTTCCTTTTGCTTTTGGTGCTGCCAGTTTTGCAGCTTTACGTTCAATTATTTGTGTTGAATTACTTGGTATTGAACGCCTTTCTAGTGCTTTTGGAATGTTAATGCTTTTTATGGGGTAATTTTTGGAAAGAATTTTTTTGGGAAAATTTTTTTTTAATTTTCAGAGTTGCTGCTCTTTTTGGTAGGGATTTTTTCCTTTTTTATTCTTTAGTTGAAATAATTTTTAAAATATTCTGATTTGTATTTTGCACTCCATAGTCTGTCCACACCTTTTTCAATACTCTGTCTAGATATATTAGGAAAGAAAATTTCTCGAGTAAGGTTCGGGTCGAAAAAAGTCCAGGGTTTTGGATAACCCGTCCCATGCCCTGCCAAAGAGATGCGAAGGAAAATAAAAAGCGAATAGACGGAGATTTCCTTCGCAACTTTTTTAAAACGCAAAAGATCCATCCATGTCTCTTTGGGATTTTACTTGCCCTATTTAAAAGTTTTTAATCTAGTACAAATCAGAATCCCCAACTTCTTTCAAAAATTTTAAAAATATTCTTTTTTTAAAGGCCCTCCATTTGCAAAATTATTAAAAAACTTTACGGGTAGTTATGGACTATCATTTCACATTATGGGTATAATGATGGTTGTTAGCGGGGCTATGTGTATTCCTTTAAGAAAAATAAATGTTTGGGAAGAAAGAAAAAATAAAATTAAAAAATTTGGACAAACAAAAAATGAAAAAGGAAATAATGATGATGAAAATATACCAGAATTACAACCTTTAAATTAAAAAAATATTTTTAACAAATATTACAGGGTTCCTTTATTGTTATGTATTTTTTAACAGAAAAATAATTATTGGAGGAACTCTTTTCTTTTATAATTTTCATTTTATTGCAATAATAATTAAATATATTAATTAATTAAAATAAATATTTTTGGAAATCGAAAAAGGCTATATTAATTTTATTTTCAAAAGATAAACTCGGAAGAAATATGAGGAAATTTTAAATTAATTTCAAATTATAAGGCAAGGGATGGTCATATTGAAACTCCATAAATTTTAAAAAAACTACTAGATAATTTTGATTTGTTTTCACAGATAACCTCAAAACCTAAAAAAAATAGTTTACTTTATAGTAAATATCAGTTTGCTATATAAATAATTAACCATATATTCTGTGTTTTTATAATCGCGCATCAAAGTTGACGTAATAAATGGAAATAATAATTCTAAGCCCTGCGGCTACGGAATTTCAGTAGTGCATTTGTTCTATTGAGGAAAATCATTTTTTATGTTTTGAACCAATGTTATTTCTGTCACTATAATCCCGGTAAATATATATCCGTATTCTCTCCCAGATATTTTCTCCAATCATATTTAAGAAATTAAAGTAATTATCCATCAAACATTATAAACAATGATCAAAGAATGTTTTTGATAAAAAAATTAAAAAAGGGGGAAAGAGAGAAAGGGAAGGATAGGGGAGGAGGAGTGGAGAGGGGAGGGAAGGGGAGAGGAGAGGAGAGGAGAGGAGAGGAGAGGAGAGGGGGGATGATGAGGTAGGGAGATAGTCGAGTTGGATAATATTCAAAAAATTGCCCTTATCGACTATAAAGTCGATAAGAGAAATTTTAAATATAATGTATAACCCTTACCCTTCATCCTCCCCTATCCTATCCTTCCCTTCCCCTCCCCTCCCCTCCCCCCTCCCCTCCCCATCAGACGTGGGCGAAACGTTTCGTTTCGTTTCGTTGTTTCGTATGTTTCGTATGATTTTTACTGTTTCGTCTCGTTTCGTTACGAAACACTTTTAAATTTGTTTCGTTTCGTTTCGTTACGAAACACCTGTGATTTTTCAACGAAACGAAACAATTTTTTAAGCCTAAACTAAGGCCAAAATCTATAAAATTTACCATCTTTTATTGAAAATTTAAAAAATTTTCGCCTGCGGCGCTGAAAAAAAAAGAATTTCGGCTTCTTGGCTTTCCCAAATTGTCAAAATTTTCGCCTGCGGCGCTGAAAAAGGAAGATAGCAATTACTTATATACTACAAATCCGTTTATACTCTACTCCCTAATCCACATATACATATTACTTAATAGACGACAAATTCTATTACCGGACTCGCATCATAATTTAAAAATTGCGGATTGCGAGTTGCGGAAATACTGGAACCGGAACTTCCGGCGAAGCACTAGCTTATATCGCCTTCCTCTCGAAATGGAGATATGGAGACAATTTGGGTAGGCAATGGAGCAAGCTAGTGAATTTTTTGGCCTACGGCCTTTCAAAATTTTAAAATTTTTCGTCTGCGGCGCTTAAAATAAAATTTTACTTGAAAAATATTCAATCTTATTTGAAAAAAAGCGTCGCCAAAAATTCGGCTTCGAAAATGATTGACCCCCCCCCCCTTCCCCGAAAATTTTCCTTGCTACGGGCCTGGCTTATGGGACACAATTGTTGTAAATAAACCAATAACTAAATCATTTATAATAGAGCCCGGCTCGATACGATATTTTTTCGATATTTTTCGATATATATTTTTCGATATTATCGAAAAAATATCGACCGAGAAAATTTTGATTTTTTCGATATTTTTCGATATTCGGTATTTTTCGGTATTTATCAAAAAAATATCGACCGAGCCCTCCGTCCGGGCTCTAATTTATAAGGCATAGGCGACTAATAAAGTATTTGAGGTCGAATAATTGCGAAATAAATGCAGTTTTGAAAATTTTTTGAATATTAAAATGTTTCGTTTTGTTTCGTTTCGTTTCGTAAGATTTTGGTTGTTTCGTTTCGTTTCGTTAACGAAACGATTTTTAAAAAATTTTGTTTCGTTTCGTTTCGTCAGAAAAAAATTTTGAGTTTCGCCCAGGTCTGCTCCCCATTAATTTTAAAATTCTTAATAAAATTAATTTTTTTCTTTTAAATTAATGTTTAAACTCTTAATTTCATAATTTAAGTTTTTAAATAATTTCTTTTAAAAACAAATAATTTAAGGGGATTAATTTTTAAAAAATTTAAATGTTTTTTATTTTCATTTTGTTTCAACTTTTACCAACTTTAATTTATTCACAAATTGAATGCGATCTGTGTGGATATGAATTTAGAGGTGTTAAAGAAGAAATATTTTTAAATGATGTTCATCCAACATCTGTTAGTATTAGTTTTTTTGAAAACAAAGAATTAAATTAAAAATAAAAAAAATATAATCTAATCGCGAAATTTTTCTCTCTGTGGAATTTTGTTTTTCCAAGGCGAAAATTTGCTTTATCTCATGGAAAATGGTGTTCCCCTCAAACTGGAATTTCACTTTCTTTAGAAAATTCCGTGTTAAATTAAGACATTTGAGGTTTCACTCGGAAAAGCCCGTCGAGCTCTGTATATGGTGGCAATCTTACCTCGCTCGCGCTGGCAAAAACTTTGTTTCCACGGAGGCCACATATAAAGAGGTAAAACAACAAGTTTTATTTTTCTTAGTCAAATCATAGTGAGTTGATTCAATTTCATAACCTCTTTCAAATATTTTGACTCCAGAGTGGATATAATAGATTTTCAAATAAGGAGTAAAATTCCAATTTGAGGGTTGAGTGTCCTTTTGCTTGAGAGCAAATTTTCGACTTGAATACAATCTTCAAGAGAACTAAATTCCGTAGAGAACAAGTCTACAAAAAGTAAAATTCAGGATCCGAACCTAAGCGAAGAGATTATACTTGAATATGATAATGCAAAGATTGGATCTGGAAGCTTTTCTCAGGTATTCAAAAATATTTATTTTTGAAATTAAAATTCTTTTTCCTATAAATAGCAAAAGGACATGAGAATATTTGCCAAAAATTAAAAAACGATTATCGTAATAATTAGGGCTGGCATATTCTTCGTCAAAATACATATATAATTGTTTAAAGACCATTACGTATATTTAATTGTGTCCGCAAAAAAATCCGCAAAACTCCGTAGGGATAACCGACAAGTACCATTTTTTGTCAGAATTTTAGTTATACTTTTTCAAGCGCTAGAAATAATTAGTGAATAAAAATAGGTAATATAATTTAAGGTCTATCACGCAACATTAAAAGAGGGTTATACCCTCGGAGGAAAAAATCGGGAAGAATTGGGATGTATTGGATTAAAGAAAACAATTATGACTAATGAAACGAAAAATTTGGAGTCTATTGAATTAATGCAAAGAAATGAATGGGAAATTTTACTTTTATTTAGTGGATTGGGAGAAGAAAATAATAAAGGAATTATCAAACTTTATGCAGCGTTAGCTTTAATTTTTTTATAAAAACTCTTGTTTCATTTAATTTAAAATATCAGGGACTAATTTTTAAAATTTAGTAACATTGATCATACTCCGACAGAACGAATTCTTTATTCATTGTTAGAATGGGGAGGTGGTGGAAACTTTAGAAATTATATTAATTATAAACATGATGAATGGGGAAGTGGAAGTAATTGGCAAATTGATGACAATAAAATTTTTGAGGTTATTAAAGACCCTGTTCTTGTTATGGGAGAATTGCATCAAAGTAGAGATTTTTAAAATTAATTTTCTAATATTTTTTTGATATCATAATAACTTTTGAGATTTTTACTAATGTCCAGCGCCGGACCTTTTTGACGGATTTCTTCAAGTTTCGAGGGTTTTCGCGACTTCCGGATTATTTTCGGACCGGATTAATACAAAAACCGGCCTGATCCGGTCCAGTATGACCAAAAATCCACTATCCGGCTTTGAACTCGGAAAGAGGATTTTGCTGGACATCAACATAAAAATCCTTGCCTTAATTATAAACGAATATTAAAATAGCTTTCAAAAATTTTACATTTATTTTCAAACAAAAAAGATAACTTCTAAAGACAATTTAATATCCGCACTTTTATTAATAATTTCATAATTAATATTATTAAGAAATAATACATTTGGACTTTAAACCAGACAATCTTATTTATGTTGCGAGAAACGAGGAAACAAGTTTAAAAGCAATTGATTTTGGAGGAGCTAAAATTTTTGGTATTAACGACCAGCAGCGTTCCTATCATTCAGTAAACATCCAAAACCAGCTTTGTATAATTTCTGAAAATTCTCCACTTTCAACTAAAGCTTATCGAAGTCCTGAACACAGAAATTTACTTTGTCGTCAACATAATATTTGCCCTGTACATGAACAGAGATGCCCAGAAAATAATACTTTATGTCGAAAGCATGAAAAAAAATGTCGTAAAAATACATATTATTTACTTAGTGTAAAATCGGATGTATGGGCAATTGGCACAATTTTATTTCAAATCGCTATGGGAGATTTATTAGCTAGAGTATTTAATCCGAACATTAAAACATTGAATAATCTTAGAAAAAATAACCGAGAAGTAAATATTTTTAATTAAAATAAAAATATACATACAACTATTAACTAAAATTAAGAACAAAATAGTAAATAGAAATTTCTTCAAAATACCACTTATTAATTTTAAAAATTT